AAGACTGTGTATGTAGATGTGTGATGTGATACATTCTGGATTCTAGGTTGACAGGAGCTATACTAACTCTCAAGAATCATCTCAGGAACAGACAGGCTATCGCAAGCCCTTGCAGCTTAATAAAACCTTGAACAATTAATTCCAATTTGTCAAATTTTCAAACTGAGGACTCTAAAAATATCCTTCACAGCTCCTGGAACATGAATAATTTCTGGGACATGAATTGCTCCAATTCATCAGAGGGAGAGGACAGACTCCATTTCACCATTACTTCCTTTTGAAAATAATTTTGAAGACTCTTAGCAGCTGCCCCACCCCTTCCTTTGTGCACTGGGAGAACGCACAAGCTTTTGTTACTCTACAGTCTGGTGGACATGATTGGCAGAAGAACCTTGGAAATGACCAAAGCAGCCTGTCACAAGTTCATTTTCTGCCATGGTCTTAGCAGTAAGACTGGCCATCTTCTGGGTCTGCTGAGATTTTAATGTACTATGCTGTTAGCTTCTGCCAGGGCATTTATTTCTATGTGCTGGTCACATTCATGGTGGCTTATCTTGCCCAGTTATCTCCAGCAATGTGCCTGCCAACTCTATATTGGTATTCTCTATTATAAAACCCTCTAGATTAAGATTTCCTGAGCTAGTTAAAACAAACAAACAAACAAACAAACATAGAAATTTATTCCTTATTCTATTTGTTCTCTTTATACTCTGTGCTGCCACAGGCTGCTCCTAAGTAGCCAGCAGAAAGTAATGACTCTAGAAAGCATAATCTCCTTCCTATTCATTGTAAATGATTTGCTAAATACCATGAAGGTGGCAAAACCAAAAGCTAATACCTACCCCTCCAACTCTAACATAGTTGTAAAAGCAATCATCTTCATCATCAAATTCTTCAAACAGAAGATTGAAAACTACTGTTAAAAGACAACTAAAACAGAAATTAAATGTTATGGGTCACCTGGGAAGCAGAATGTCATTATTACTTAATATCTTTCAGGGAATAGCTCCAAAAAAATACGTTCTAATGATTTACTTAAACAACATCAACAACAATCCCTCCATTTTAAACAAGGGGTTTATCCCTCATTTCCAGTTAAACCTTTAAAGGTAGTAGATAGTGTGTCCAGAATTATCTGTGGTGACATTTGAGTTATAGCTGGCCCTACTAAATGCTTCTAGTCTCTTCTCAGATGGTGGAAGCGACAACAGTCACACACAGGCCTACTGTTAACCTTTCCCTGTGCTTGTTTTTGGCTTCTTCACTTATTTCAGATAGTCAGAAACCTTACTTCCTTCTGCATGTTCTGTCCTAATATGAATTTAAATTATAATTTCTATTTAAATTCTATTAAATCATATATTCAAAGAGAATGGCTGCTCACTGAAGACACAAAACAGAAAGGAAGAAGCTGGAGAAATAGGAAAAGAGAAGTGGGAAAGAAGGAGAAGGAAGAGGAAGGAAGAGAAAAGGAGGAAGGCAGGGAAGAAGAGGGCAGGTAGTTCTACAAGGGCAAGGACCTCATCCAGGTTTTTAAATACCATTCTCCTGGCAAAAGGCACTATGTCAGTCATGTATCAGGCACACAGTGAGCATGTAGAATCCAAACTCAGTGAGGATGTGCCAGGGAACAAGCCTTTCATAGTTCACATTATAAGACTGGAGGGTAGAAGATAGGACTGCCTAATTCATAAGCCACCTCAAAGAGAAGAGAAAACTCACGTTCAGCTAAGCTTTTACTCATTCCAAATAAAACAGAGAGAAAGATGACTACAAATGAGCAGAAGAAGAAGGGACTATGAGTCGTTGGGTCCTCTGCTTAGTGACCCTCAGAGAGCACGCTGAGCTGTGTGTGTGTGTGTGTTTCCACATGTGCGTGTGCAGGCGCACATATGTGCTCATGTATGTGGAGGTCTGAGGACAACATCAAGTACAGTTTCTCAGAAGCTGCCCACTTTTCATGTTTAATTTATTACTTGTTTAGAACTCACCATGTAGGCAAGCTGGCTAGGCAGACGGCGGTTCACCTGTTTTCACCTTCCCAATACTAGGACATACCCCCACCCTAGCTGGCTGTTACATGAATTTAGTGACATTTGCCTGACAATGCCCTCGGATGCTTTTCTTAATCAAGTACTTGAGCAACTTAACAGGTTTTTGTCATTATCTGTGATGTAAGTATTGGTATTCCCTATGATCTGATCCACTTTTTCACATTCTCCATATTCCTATGATTGTTAGGTCACCCAAATGCAGTGGACAACAGAATCAATGACATCCAAGGTCCTTCTGAGTTGTAGTCTCAGGATCACCACACAAACAGACCCTGCTCCTTGGCACTTCAACACATCAGTAACTAAAATACTCAGTTTCCGACACTCATTAATGAAAATAATCATCCATGAAATGGCTTCATCATGCAAGCCAAGGGCTTTTCCTAACACATTTTTACTTTCTAAAAAAAATAAGCCATTTTTTTTCCTTTTTCTTTTTCTATTTCCTTTCTTCCTTTACAGTCATACCATATAGTTAAATGCCCCTACTCATGCTGGCTACTGTGACCTAATGCATGAAACTACCATCTGTTGCCAAAATTCACACAAATCCTAAGTGGAATGGCCTTCTTGCATTCAACCTTAACAAGGCTCCAGTTATTTTCAATTTTAGAGTCAAATAGATACCTTCAAGATTCAAATTCCATCACAGTAGAATACTTGCAGTCCCATAAACCTGGGAGTGTGCCCAGCACCTAAATTTTCCCCAGATCCCAAATTCCCTGGATAAGTAAGTCTACTGAGTAAGTCTACTCAGATTGTCCTCTCATGCCGGCTCAACCTATCTACCATCAATCTATTCACCCCCGCTCATTTTCATCAGTCCTACCTACCACACACAAAGACTGGTGTTCTTATTACATTTTGACACACTTACCTTTCCTCTAAGAAGATTTTTAATATTTCACTGTACACACACATTTAATGGTTTCCCATGAATTCTTATAGGGAAGGCAAGAATATATCCATAATTCATATATGACTTATCTAACTACCTAGCACCCAGCAGTGCTGTATACAAATATATTATCATTCATTCAATATTTGTTCAATGAGTCTATAGGAACTGCTTAGATTTAAGGACAAAGAAAGCACACCAGCCCTTAGGAAAACAACGTTAAATGTGATTGGATGTGACACGTGTATAAAATGATAATAAGCTCCTTATTAAATAATTTTCTCTCCTTTGCCAGTCAGCTCCAAACTAAACATTTCAGGGAGATAGTTCTATGATTGGGTATTGCAGATAAGAAGATGGGCACAGCCAAGTAAACTGAGTTGCCTGAGGTTACCCAATGTCTCAGAGGCAGAGCAAAGCTTTAAAACATAAGTTCTTGACTTCCCCTCTTTACTGTCATCATTTTTTTTTTTGGAAAGCATTTCTTACCATAGAATTACTGGGTCAATAATTCACCTTACTTTATTGGCCCTCTCTGAATTCTCACCTATGGTATTTATACTGGATATATAAACATATTCCATTGGTCTTTCCTCTATTCTTTAACAGGACTTTGCTATGATATGCCTCTGAACTCATCATTCTGAGGGGTCAGCTTCCTCTAGTTAAATGGATAGTAGCAGATACTAACTGACATGATGTCAATGCTTTATTCTCTGGTGATGGGACATCATACAGAGATACGATGTATATCTGTAATGCTCACAGGAAGCTGGCCAGTTCATTCTTTTGCAGTCGTGGACATTTTGGCAAAAAATGGCATCAATAATCAATAAACATTTGAGAGGCAACGTAGGCACTACATTGATGAGGGAACTGATTCTAAGGTTTGTATTATGAGAGAAATAAACAATCTGTGCTACTATTTTAAAAGACTAGCTATAGCCAATAGATATGCTAACATTATTTTGGGGCCGGTGGTAACTGTAACAGTTCTTTCTCACACTAGTTTCAGGTGAGTAGGGTGGGTATAGACTTGATATTCTTCCTGACCTTACACTTGTTTGCTTTTTATATTGTAATACGGTGGGGAAAATGTTAAAAAAAATAACCTATACAAAACTATAGCTAACATGGCACCCTTACTACCTGTCTATAACTATACTAACTGAGCATTTTCAGTTCAGTTGTACAGTTTTCTCTTCATGTTTACATCAAAATGAAGAAAAATACAACTAAAAACTATTTCCCTTGTTTGCTATGGTCAACCTGACCCATTCTTCATTTACTAGAAACAAGCATAGTCACCCCTAAAGCACTCATGCTAGCTCATTATTTTATCCTCCAGTCTTGCTTTACTGCTCAAGGCCCACAAAGATCCTCAAGTGCTCCAAGTATTTAGAGTGCTTAATCTCCAGCGTGACATTAAGTGAACTGTTTGTCAAATGAGTAGGCATGATTATGTCTGCTCTAATAGACAGACAGGAGAGCAACCCATTTGTAAGTTAGCTCTGTGAAAGTTCTTTCAGATACTGACTGAACAGCAATTGCTCAGAGCATGGAACATCCAGTTAGAATTCTAACAGAACCTTTCAAACATAATTTTCCTTCCCAAAATTCTCCTTCCCTAGTAAGTTGAAAGTCTATATAAGGTGAATCCTGCCTTCCATGAATGTGCTAGCATGCTGAGTTAATTACTGGTAGAAGAAAAATATACGCTCTATAAATTAATTCACATCTGCCAGCTCCACTTTTTGAGAGCATGTTGTCTTCATCTTTAAATGCCAAGATTCCCATTATATTGCACCAAGGCATACAAGGTATTCAAAAGTAGCCTACGGGTAGCCTGGCACCTCCTTTGAATGGTAGGTGCTCTCCCAGACAACAAAGGGAAGCAAATTCCGACTTCCACTTTAATGTTACCACGTGGTTACTTGTCACCTCATGTGTAAGAGCAGTCTGAGAAGGATAATAGAAACAGATAACAGATTAGAAAAGCAAATACTTTTAGCACAGTGATTCATGGCCTATCTGAGAAATGACTCTACCTGAAGAGTTTCCATTTCTTCATCTTTTCTTTGAGTCTCTTCCTGCAGACCTACAATACGAAAATAAACGCCCATGAAAATGCAGTGTAAAAACGGGTTGCTTCTTAAATCAAATATTTGTTAAGGGGTGAGAAACAGGGTGGAAACAATGCACTTTGCTCCCAGCTGATGAACTGTGTGAGTACTCTGAACTCTGTTAACCCCAAGCCAGATGAGAAGCCTGGCAGTCCTCAGCTTTCTAGGACATAAAAGAGTCATATCAATTCAATTAGAAACCAAAGGAACATACCAGTATCTGAAGCATTTTATCTAATGATTATATAACCAACATGTTGCACAAAATTCCTTAAAGAAAAATTTAGGAACAAGCCATTTTTTCTTAAGATAAGTTCTCAAGTCAAGTCCGAACCCCAAAGTCAAATTTTATAACCAAATTAAAACACCTTGCAATAATGAATGCTATTAATGGAAGCAGAATGCCATGTCAAATGTAAAGTCATATTATTACTAATTATCATTTTGTACTTAGAGAGTGGGGTGTATTATAGGTACATCTGACCAACAGCTTGGCACGGTCTCAGAGAAATGAATGGCCAGAAGGTAAAATAGTCAAGTGGAGAGAGATGCATCTTAGTGCACCCGTACAGCCACAGTTTCTCAGTGCATTAATTTATGCAATTGCTACAAAGGAAAAACATATTTGGCAAGCAGATCTTTCTGCCTCTAGCTATACCACTTTATGCTACAATCTTATTAGATTTCACAAACCTAAAGAAGGCTGGGCTGAGTCAGAACTTGGATACAAGTGGCAAATATGCGAATTAGCATTGGTGCTGCGCGAAGACTGGTTTACCTTTCCAAGGGGCTGTGCTGCATAAAAGTCAAACGTAACTGGAAGAGATCCATTATACATATCAGAGAGGCAGACACAGTGTTTAAGCAAGTGCTAAACTAGACACAGCAGGAGGAAGTAACATAAAAGAACAAAGTAACACGGGTGTATGTTATACCCCCAACTGCTGCCCTGAAACTGAAGGAAATATCACGGTAAGTGATAAAGGATGGCAATGAGCTTTTGAGACTGTGCACGGAGAGGGCCACAGAGGAAGAAGGCAAGGAAGTCACAGGCGGTTTCTGTTTGTATTCTTTAAAGGAACTGTTTTTTACTCCAAAGGTTTCCCCTAATTAAGAGAATCAATGATAAAGTGGCACAATGATGTTCAGAGGTATATTTTGGGGGCATATTTTCATTGGCATTTCAGATTTCTTAGCAACAAGTTTTAGAAACAAACTTGGGGTGCACTATATTGCCCAGTGTCCTTCAGCTCTCCGGCTTCTTTCTCCTTTTCTCAGTTGTGCTGAGATCTATTTCCTGCATCTAGCCTAGCCCTTTGACCAGATTCTGCATAAAAACCTCTGTCACTGGCTTTTGCACATTTGTACTTTTTCACTGTTATTACCATATGGACAAATCCCAGACAATCTGCTAATGACAGGAGACACATGGCCCAGGATGTTCCCTACCCCTGCCATCCTGAAGGCTGCTCCAGTAGGCAGCCAGTAAATGCCCAGAAGCAGAGCTGCCCAGCTGATCTGAAGGTGATTACAGATGGCTCATACTGATGTCCAACTAAGAACGCACAAATTGCCAGCCAAGCCAGTACCCCTCCAACTCAGAGAACCATGACCTTAAGAATGGGATTATGAACCAGTTTTGCTGAAGCCTAGCTAGTGATCATGGCTGAGAAGCAAAACTCTCCTGTGACAGTCTCCCATAAGCAAATGAATCGACAATAAAGCAGCATAGTGTTGCTGTAGGATAGATACTAAGCATCTCAGGTTGCTTAGTAACAAGGTATAGAAACAAACTAGGAAGGAATCTAGGAGAATACAGTATAAGACTCTCAAAGAGGTGAAGGATCACAATACTATCCCCACTGAGTTGTCACTGCGATGACAAATAATTTTGTTGTTTGTTCTCACAATTAACACACAAAGCCATGTTTACTCTCACAATAAATACAGGAAAGAGTAACTAACCTAGTTAGTGTTAAAGCCAAATCTAGAGCCTTGTTCTCCTGACTTACAATCTACCTAGCATAGCACACACTCAATGCACCACTCAGTGCTTATCTACACTCTTCTGCTATATATTCCTTAAAGGGCACACATTTGCCTTCCCCTGACTTGCTTTAGGAATGTTCTGATAGCAACATTTGGGACTTCCCCATCTTTCTAACAACTGCTTCTCTACCTTTGACATCTTACTTAAAAACCCCAAATTGCATTCTTCAGATACCTTAGTTGGGAATAAAGAGTGGAATCGCGAGCCTGTGTTGGTGAAGCTTAGCTGCTGAACATGACTGAGAAGAAACAGTGTATGCCAACAGAAGGAAGCTAGAAGAGTACAGTAAGAGTGCCAAGGAGGTGAAGGAACACAATGCTGCTCCTGCTGGTGTGGCTGGTGGCCCTCTTCATAACGAGTGATCTCATTTGTTCTCACAAATCCCAGAAGAAATGGCTGGGATGAGAGGCTGGAGGGCCGCTTTGCTCCCTTGCTCAGCGCTGGCACACTCAAGCTCTCCTTTACTATTTTATTATAATCAACGGCCACAGAAGCTGCTGTGACTAAGCAGCTTCTATGGAAGACATTACTTAATGAAAAGAATTTAGTGCAAAGGGTGGCAGCCTGAGTGTTTTCCTTAGGGCAGCACCCAATTATAAACTAGCTGATGTTAACTCATTGTGTTGTACAGTGTTTGGAGGAGAGATCTTTCCCAGAAAAAAAGCAGGAACTCATAGGTCGAAAGCGAAATCTCTAGTTTTGTTTGCTTCTACTTTGTGTTTTGAAGGCACAGATACAGTAACACAGCACAGCAACAGTTTTTGGTAAGGTATTTTCACACCACTTCCTTTGCAGTCGTTGCAACCAATCTCTTGGCTATTTAAGGAAACCCTACACTGTCTTATTTACCTTATTTCTGGCTTCATCAAAGCACGTAGAATACTTGTCTTCAAAAGGTGAATTGCATCCAGGTGTGCATCACCAACACCCCTAACTAATGACTTGACTCTTCTTAAACATGCTGAAGATCAAGCTTAGAAATGAATATTTTTTTCTTTAACCATTTACTATAAAACATCTTGCATCCTAACTTGGGGCAGGTGGTACTGGCCAGGGAGGCACTGGAGATACAGTAGCATATACAACAATGCTTTGGGCAGAACATTGGAGTTTAGACAGATGCTTTGAGCTGTCAGCTGCTGTACCCAGTTAGTCAGAGGACATACTTCCTATGTGTCCTGTGTTTTACTAAGAACAGCAGAAAATATAAGTTCTCAGAAGTTCAATATTAGTCTGTGTATCTTTCTTTATGGGCAGTGGTCATAGTATAATGATATCAAAATAGTACATGGCATCCCACAATGGACCACAGATGATGGACTTAGCCTACTATAGGTATGGTTTTGTTTTGTTTTCCTGAATGATCACTTAATAATCTTCTAGCTCAATATGACACAGATCAGCAAATATTTCTCCTATTTCATTATACTAGGCAAGGTAATAAAGGTAAATCTAGTCAAACATGTTTGCCTTTAAGAGCTGGAGGGGATGGGAACTCCACAAGGAGAGCAACAGAACAAAATAATTTGAACACAGGGAACTTCCCAGAGACTCATACCAAGGACTATTCATGGAGATAACCTAGAACCCCTGCACAGATGTAGCCCATGGCAGTTCAGTGTCCAAGTGGGTTACATAGTAATGGGAAGAGGGACTGCCTCTGACATAATCTGATTGGCCTGCTCGTTGATCACCTCCCCCTGAAGGGGAAGCAGCTTTACCAGGCCACAGTAGAGGACAATGCAGCCACTTTTGATGAGAACTGATAGACTAAGATCGGAAAGGAGAGGAGGACCTCCCCTATCAGTGGACTTGGGGAGGGGCATGCATGCAGAAAGGGGAGGGAGGGTGGGATCGGGAGGGGAGGAGGCAGGGGCTTATGGGGGGATACAAAATGAATAAAGTGTAATTAATAATTAAAAAATACTTTGACAATAAAAAAATTAACATTGTTAACTCTCTGGGTTTCATATCCATGGATTCACCCAACCATAGCTTTAAAATCTTCTTTTAAAATTATGTACGCAATGACCATTTGCAGATCTTTTCTCTCTTTGCCAGTGAATCCTAAAACGATAACAACTATTAATGTGTCATTTACATTGTGTTGGCTATTATAAGTAATCTGGGTTTGATTTAAAGAATATCATCTAAAGAATATGATTTAAAGAATATGAGTTATATACCTACTACATTACTAATTAACTAGAGGGACTTGCTGCCACCAGATTTTGGTATCTATAGGAACAAATACCCAGTAGGGAAAGAGAGAAATACATATAGAAAACACTTATAATGGCAGGTGCATAATAAAAATCAGACATGTTACTATTTTTTTTCAGTTCACCCTAAGTATCCATTGTGGGATCAATAACATGTGTAAAAAGCATCAGCTATCCTTTTAAACAAACAAGCAAAGAGGCCATTCAGCCCCCTGTCTTCAGACTCCACCTAGGATGGAAAGCTACATTACTAAAACTTTGTCATGTCTACTGCCACCAACTGGCTGTCAGTGAACATGCCACAGTGACAGAGTCTGCATCAGACCTTAGCACAGAAAGCACAGGTAAAAGAGAACAGTAACATTCAAAACCTCTGTCTATCCCTTGCGGTTTGTGAGACACTAAAACAACATGCTAGTCCATAGATGGGGCTGATCCGGCCCAGTATATGATGGCTCAATAAACAAATGGTTTTACAGCCAGTCTGTCTTGGTTACGTGGTAAGACACATAAATATAGGTACTCATATTTTTATTTAAAGCTAATTATTTCTGGGAAAATAGCCTCCCCACCCCCCAAATTTAAAAAGCATGACAGCCTACCTCATCCCATTTTGCTCCTTTTTAGCTCTGGGGTTGAAGAAAACCATGTTACAGAAGGAAAGTTCTGATGCAGTCAACAATTAATCTTTTGTTATTTCTAT